GGAAGACTCTATTTCTACATCTCTAAACAAGCAGGTTTGTTACACACAATACATTGCCTACAGACTTCAGACCATTTAGGATTTTACTTCAGTTTCCTCAAGCTTCACACAAAGTGCTCCTTGTAACGAGATGTGTGTGCATTCAGCATAGATGATTTGTAGGGAGGCAAAAGCTCAGCTGAATGATGTGCAGTATAGTTCCTCATGCAATAACCAATTGGTAGACTAACTCCTGAGCACAAGTACTTTGCATTTTCTGGATGTATTTCCTGATCCTTCTGAGAAATAATAGGCCTCATTAGGGCACAGTTAGTTATGTTCCAAAAAGAGTGTTGTTTTTTGGGGTCTTAACATATGTAGCACTTGAAGAAGAAAACAATAGTTTAAACTAGGGTGCTCAGACCTTGCCTCCAGTGCCCTGTCATCCAGCCTGCAGGGCTCCACACAGGTCTGGAAATTTGGTGGCAGGCAAACCATGCCATTGTTCTACTGCAAAATTTCTGGACCCACGAGGAGCCCCAGGCCCTGCATGCTGCATCAGGTGCCCAATCCCAGTGCATGGGACTGGGTGGGGGGCAGTGTTAGGCCCCAGGAACTAATCCCCGTGTGGGAGGCTGGGAGGTGGTGGCACCAGGACTTTAGGGCCGATTCTGGGGTGTGGGAGGGGGCGGCACCAATCCCCAGGAAAACTAATCCTGGTGTGTAGGGGGGTTGGAGGGGGGTGATGCCAGTCCCTGGGAGCCAATCCCAGTGTATGGGAGTGGGAGTGGGCAGTGTCAGGCCCCCAAGGGCTGCTGCTCATTCATGGGGTAGGGCAGGAGCCAGTGTCTGGCCCCAGGGCCTGATTCTGGTGGATGTGGCTCAATTCAGCTTGTGGACTGGCCCCATGCCGCTCAGCTGGTCCATGAGACCAAAAGGTTGAGCATCACTGGTTTAAACAAGCATTTTCTAAATAACCCTCCCTATTCCAGGCAGTGCCAACAGCTGCAAGAGACACATATGGGAATGATGCAGTTTTAAATTAGAAGTACACCATGGCTGAAGGTTGATGTATGTCTCATCTCTGGCCTGCTCACAGAGGGCTTGATCTATAACCCAGCAGACCCACGCACTACCCAATTTTCCACAGAATTTTATACATCTACAACAGTCTATCTGATATATGCTATACAGGCCCCCTCTATATGTCACATTTAAGCCACGATTAACATGTTAGCCATGGCATAAATGGGAAGGATGCTACACATGCACCCAATTTAAGGTACTAAAATGGGAAATGAACCATGTAACTGTTCCATGACTGATTTGTACGGTGTCTTAAATATACCACATGACCACAGGCTGATGGCAGATCATTGGCTCTGGGACCCAAACCACACCAGAGTCTGGAATAGCTCCAAAGGCAATGGTCAGATGCTTGTTAATCCCATCCCAAGGCTAGGGGTAGGGGTGAAAGCCAAAGGACTTCCCCCCCAACCAGAGACTTTAAACCCTGTGCCTAGCAGCTCTGGCCAGGCTGCCAGGCAAGGGGGATCAGAAGCTTCCAGCAGAAGCCAAAGTGCTTTTCCTGCTGTGACCTTTAAACTCTGGGCTACTGGGCTCAGCATCTGTGCCCAGCCAGAGCTAGTGGACAGGCACCAACAGTCAGCAGACTGTCTGTGCTGATAGCCCCACATGAACGAGACCTGGGACTGGCTGAGATTGGGACCAGCAATCAAGTGACTGTCAGACCTAGTCTCCAGCCAGTCCTAGGTCTGGAACCAGACTGTCTGGCCAGGGCTGGCAGTCAGCTGATTGTTGACTCCTCATGTGGGGCTGTGGCCCCTGGCGTGGTGTGGCATGGCAGGAGGCGCTATTGCTGGAATGGGGGGGGACCAGATCCCATTGCACCAAATAAATGTGTGCCAGAAGCCTCAGACACTGATTTTTATTTCTCCATCCTCCCCCTTTCCCAAGGAAGGTAAGCAAGCAGAATTTGTTCTTGGGCTATCTCTGCTGTTTCTTGCTCATCAGCAATATTTAGGCACCTGCAAGAGGTTTCTCCCTCTCTGGCATCAGGGCACCAATATGCAGCTGAAGTTGCCCCTTTTTCAGCTGGATGCTTGGGCTCCCCTGACACACTGGTGAGCAAGACTGCTCCCCTTCTGGGATCAGCGAGCTAAAGCTAAATCATCCTTACATGGGGTCATGAAGCTGTACTGCCTTCCTAACTGGAAGGTCCGAACAGAGGAACCTAGATAAACGTCTCTATTTCCACATCACCACCATTGTGGTACCCTGTGCGCATGCCTCTTCTCATTCTTTTGCTCTCTCAAGTCTTTGTGCAGCCAGCTGTTTTAGGATGTGGGCGCTCTTGCTGTCAGTTCTTGGTTCATTGGCTGATTCTCCATCTCTCTTCCCAAAGCTGTATTTCAAGTCTGACTTCTGCCTCTCTTCTTTCTTCTTCTATATGACCATGCCTTATATTTACAGTTTTGCAATCACCTATTCCCTTTCGCTCACAATCCTGATTTCCCATCAATCACTTCTGGGGCTAAATCTCCAGGAATGTCCATGTCCATGACTGACCCATACTTGGATCATGCTTGCTTACAGCCTTTCATTGACATCCCAATACTTACCTGTTACAGCCCTGATCCTGCAACAAATTTGCGTGGTCTGAGCTTGGAACCTATGGTAGGGCTCACCGATTTCCATGGGACTCTCCGCAGAGAAGACGAAGTAGGGATACAGGGGCTTACACAGTATTTATTTTAACATTTAGTTTATTATTTTAGTAAGGAACAAAGGGTAGTTTACTGCACAGTTAATACTGAGACCAAGGTACAGCAAAGCAATCAACCAGAAACTGTGGCGGTGCTTTTAAATAAGTCTTAATAGCCAAGACAAAGGCTTTGGCACAAAGAAAGATGCTTTCTTTTCATTTAGCATCTTTTGTGTGCATGTTTTATTGGAGAAAACACTTAGAAGTGAGCACAATATGAATGTATGTGATTTCTGTGCTACTGATTATGCATGCCCCCCATGCAGACTGGCTGGATATCTTCCAAGCCACTGGAGCTCTATGTTCCAAGCTTAAAAGCAAGCAGAGGTGCCAAGTTCCATATTTTGCTTGCTTCTGGAAAGGGACTATGCAGTACCATATATTTTTACAGTACCTGCAATCATCTGCAACACAGCTGTCCAACTTGGAAGCTGCAAATAATATTAAGGTTGGCTTGTCTGGTATTCATTAGAATAATGTATACTGAAGCAAAGGAAAATAATATTTTGTCAAAACATCTTCATTGTCTTAAAAGCAGAATCTTTTATAGGCATATTCAACCATGGCCAAAGTGATGTTGCCCTTTGTAGTCAGCTATAATGAAAAACTTGAGGGGAAATACAAAGTGTAAAAACCACTAGACAACTCCTTTCAGGGTGCTCAATACTGCTTATTAATTGTCTGCAATGATTGGTCGTGCACCACAAGAAACATTTCTTCCCAACCTCCCAAGGCTTTAGGTGGTATTTTGGCAGTGATCACAGACCTCTATGGCCACAGAAACAGGGACTGGAGTCAAACTTAGGTTGTTAATATGGCAGTGAAACACTCTACTAGCAGGAAACAAACCCGCCCCCTTAAGAAGGTAATTAATGTTTTCTCTTCTTTCATTTCTTCCTTCTCCTCATTAGTGTTTTCAAGCTTGGCAACTGTCCACAATCTACAACTGACTTGAGTAATAACTTGTCCAACCAGAACCAGGCTTCTAGTTATCTACCCCATATGTTTACCAGGCTGTCTTACAAGAACAAGCGGTCCATTATTTTCCAGCCAGCAATTAGGTATCTCAGCACAGCATGAGACCAGTGGCAAGCATGCTGGCAAGCTCCTGACAAGAACTCCTCAGGGGAATTCTGCTCTTTCACTGGTTCTTTCTCTTTTCAAACTTATGAACCACATGAAATGCCTCTAAAAATTCATTGAAATCAATGCTGCCATCTTTGTTGAAGTCTATGGCATGGGCGAGCTTGTTAATGGCTTCATCATCTATGTTGATGTTCAGATGAGAGCTAAAGAACCTCCATGTTTGGCGAAACTCCTCAATGGAGATCAGACCTGCAAAAAATAGATGAAAGTAAAGGTGCTCAGCACAGCTCACCCCATCTCTAGTCAAAAAGCTACCTACCTGCCACTAACTCAAAGTATTTGCTGTTTGATGGCTGCAATGCACACACTGCTTTTGCATCAGATCAGAGGAGGGGGAATGTGACGAAAAACGCATAACCAAAAAATGGTGAATCTACCTCTGGGGATGGGGATTACACAGAAGCATCTTCTGGGTTTGGGCTACACTCTGGCCCTTACACAGGACACAGTCTACGTGCTTAACTGTGTTTTAAATAAACCAGAAAAAAAATCACATTTGGTTCTCATGTACTTGGAAGGCTAAGAGGAAGGAGCAAAAATAAAGCCAAAACAGTAGAGAGCAATAATTAACAGACCTGCAGTCATTAGGAAGCAGTTACTCTGAAGTACCTGAACGATCTTTGTCAATGATGTTGAAGATTATCTCCAAATCATTTCTGTATCTGCAAAAGGTTTCCACCAATGCTGGTTGAACCTGGTTTGGAAATTGCAAAACATAGATCATACCTCAGTATAAGTTAGTCTAATGAGCAGGACACACAAGACAAATTAGACCACTAATACACAAAGTGATCATTATTAACTTATTGAAGTATTCCATTTCTCAAGCAGAGATTCCAATGTGTGATTTCCACCCCTTCAGTAGCCCTGCCCCGAACAAAGTATAGCCCAAGTCCAATTCCACTTTTAGATGTGTAAATAGCATTTACATGGCTCATTTTTAAGTGGTGTTTTAGGCTACTTAGATTTAAGATGGTGCTTCCTACTGGAAAAGCATGCAACTCCATATACTTCAACAAAAAAATCAAGGAGGGTGCCTAGCTCATAATCCAACAGCCTAGTTGTTACGGCACTTGCCATGGGAGTGAGATCCAGGTCCATCTTATGGTTGAACCTTTCTCTCTCACTTTCTAGCATAGTTTGGACATTGTCAAGGCATTCACCCCTCCTCTAACCTGGCCTACTGACCTGTCAACAGGGGAAGACATGGGATACCAGAAAAAGAGCAAACTAGAGGGATTGTGCCTCAGTGGGGCAGCTTCAAGAGGAGAGCTAGAAGGTGACTAGCCCAGGGCACATTCCTGGGAAGTGGGAGATGCAGGTTCAAAATGCTTCTGGATAAGAGAGTAGAACCAGGGTCTCCCCCTCTCATGCCCTAACTGCCAGGATAGCAGGACAAAAGGTGAAAGGGCCTCTTCCTCCCTCTCATGGTTTACCTGGGACTAATATGTCTGGGTCTTGCCTAGAATGTCTGTCCCAACCTGGGTGGAACAGAATCACAACAAAGTGTAAATGGCCACACCTTGTGAGTTGTGCAAGGGGCAACAGGATCAAAAATGTATATAGCTGGTTTAAAACATCACTTATGTGGTGAAAGTTTGTTGCATGATACATACCTGCTAAAAAGGAAGTTGGATATGGGCCTATGAGGCTCTCAGTTCCAGGATACCTAACAGCTGGGTGGGTAAGATGACCCATGGGATGAGTCTTTCACACCTGCTATCAGTCATAATTTCTGAACAAACTAATAAACTTTTGGCAGTGCCTGCACATTACAAACATACTCACCTTAGACCTGAACCTTGCATGTCAGAACAGTTCCCCTCTCCTCACCTTCTTAGACAAAGTGAGAAACAACTAAGTGCCAGACTTCCAAAATATGCTTAGCACTCAAGAGCTCCCCTTTCCTCACTTTTTGGAACACACAAGATTTTAGAAGAGCTCAGCTTGCATTTAGGCCTCTCAAAGCATTTCTGAGGCACTGACCCTCTCATTTCTCAGACTAGAATGGAAACTGAGCTCTTCCCCAATCCTGGCCCATTTCCTCTAAGTCTCCAGTCTCAAAAGCCACAGAGCTGACAAGCCACAGAGCTGAACCTTTTCCTCTTTACCTCTTTCAGAGGTCGCTCTATTTCCAAATCATCAAAACATGAAAGATAGTCAACTCTTTCATCTGAGCCAAGCTGCACCAATCGAGAGCGCAGTGTCCTCCAAGGAAGATCCAGATGCAAGACAGATTCCATTGCCAAGGCCCACTCACCGACAGAAATATACCCTGTCAAAGTGGACCACATGTATAGTTATAAAGTATACGTGCCTCCTATTAGCACATCTCTGTTGTTTTTAAAAGGGCTATAACAATGTCTCAAATATGGATGTCAAACTCAAAGTGGCCTGTGGGCCATATTCCCTGCTTTTTTGCCTGCAGGCCAAACCCATTTGGTAGAGGTGGACTCCGCCTGCCACTGCACCAGGGTTGCCAGAGGTCCAGCACTTCCTGAGGCTCCAGGAGCTGCAATGATAAGCCCTGCCACTGCAGCCAAGGTTGCCGCAGTGGGGGCAGGTGTCAGAGTGGTTCCCACCACAGCTGCAGCTCACCCCCATTGCCAAGTGCCACTGTTTCTCAAAGTCACCAGCCGGTGGAGGCTGAAGTAGGCACTACTCCAATACCTCCCTCCAGGGGTGGATCAAGAGCAGATGCAGTGGTACCACTGCACTCCCCTGTTTCTGACCATGGGGCAAGATCAGCAGCCTGGACAGTTTTACGTCCCAATGGAGATAAGAATCCCCCCTTCCCTTCCCCTCCAGGTTCAGAGGCACATCCCCTTCCCTCCCATTCCGCTCTTCCCCTCCCATCCCCCTCTCCCCCCCCTGCCACTGCTGAAACCCTGCTGTTGCCTGGGGTGAGGGAAGTTCATGTCCTCACCTAGAAGAAAGAATGTCCCTGAGCCAGGGATATTCTTCAGATTGCATCAGCTAAGGAAACTGCTCAGTGGTTGCAAGTTGTGATAAACAGTCCTACAAGCCACCAGTATTAATTCCTAACTCCTATACTTAAACTGCACCTTCATGATTCTGTGAAGAAACTGAAGAAAATGCACCCAATCTCTGATAATTTAATCCCAACAGGAAAAAATCCTTGTCCCCTACACAGGAAAGAAGTCAGCATATTGAAAAGCATGGCTTTTGTGATACAAACATGTGGAGGGTTGGTAGGGCAGTTATAGAAACCAAGAGGCTCAAAAAGACCTGGTCAAAGCTTTAAATTAGATTAATGGGGAATGTGGGGGGCGGGCTAATCAGCTCCCATCACTAGGCTCGTCTACACAAGACACATTAGTGCACGGTAGAGCAAATTGCTGCATAGTAAGCATCACTGTCTACATTTGCAGATCCTTACTGCACAGTAATTTGCTCTACTCAGCAGTTAATTTGCTACTTGAAGACCGAGTAGTCTTCTTTCATATGACATTTTAGGATTACAACATTCACAGATGAATATCTAAGTTTGACAACCACCTGACTGCTTCAGGGGTAGCTGCACAAATTGGTTTAGTTACTGCACAGTAAGGCAAATGTAGATGGCCAATGGGGAGCAAATTTGCTCCCAGTCAGCCGGCCAGCAGGGAGTGGGAGATTGCTCCCTGCCCCTGGGACTTGGCTGTTGTCAGGGTGGGCTCCACTACTGAAGCCTGAGCTGAGACAATATCCCCCTGCCCTGGCAGCAGGGATCTCCTGGCCCTGGTTCCATGATTGCTTCTTGATGCTGGGGCACGGAATCCCCACCTTGCTGGGGTCTCACTGCTAAGTGCCTCACTGGTGGATCAGGGCAAGGGACCAGGACCTGCCCCTCCCCCACTGCTCTTTCCAAGCCTCCTGCCCCTGATTGGGCAGCTGGGGCTGGGAGCTCCCTGCTGCCAGGGCAGGGGCACATTGTCCCACCCCACATTCTGCCATCAGAGTCTGCCCTGGCAGCAGGAAGCTCCTGGGGACAGGAAGCAACTCCCAGCCTCAAGCAGGAGACAGCTGTCTCCTGGCTCTCTGCTCCCTGATAGCCCCTGGGTTAGCACTGAGGGGAGCCCAGAGCTCCCCCTGGCTGCTGCAGGGGGGGGCAGAGCAGGGTGGGAACAAATCTGCTCCCAAATTTGGGCACATGTAGATGCCAGCCCAGGGTGGGTTTACTCGAGAGCAAAATACTCCAGAGTAAACACATCCAGCAGCATTTGCACGCATAGGTGCACACACTGTTAAGATGAAGGCTGAGACCCCTTCTAAGGTGAAGGACCCTTCTTTTTGCATTCCCCAGGTTATGCTCCTCCCTTCTTTGCAGGTGGCTTGTCACCCACTCTGACTTGATCAAATACCCTATCAAGGAGAATGAGACGTGGTATTACCTGTATCATTCGGGTCGTATTGTTTGAAAGTTTCAATGAGTTCTAATCTGTGCGTGTAAATTTTCTCTCTTAGTGACTTTAAAGCAGAACATTCAACTACACTCACCCTGAGAAGAAAATAACAACAGACAGTTAAAGAGATGAAATTCTCAAGATCTCTAATATTTTCTACACAAGGTATGCATAAGAAAGCCTCTGTGTATCAACTAATATTTTACATCTTCAGAGTCTTGATATAAGGCCTCCTAAAAAGTGATACTTCAAAACCAAAAGAACTCTCTGAGTTTATCTGATGCTCAGATAATGGTAATCCTTACACAGACAAGTCAAGTCCTTTATACCAGTAAAACAAACCAGAAGGCCCCAAGAGTGGCAGAACTGTGACAATTAACTTCTTGGCCCTGATGCACAACTACGTTTCTCATTTTAGACATGGCCATTAGACCAGTCTAAAAAGGGAGCCATACAGTGGTGACTCAAATCCTTTATAAGGCATAGGGACATAGGACTGGAAAGGATCTCCTGGTTTTGAGTCCAGTGCCCCAGTTTCATAGGCAACCAGGTCATTTATGCAGCAAGCTCCACCTTAAAATAATTAGGTGTTTTGCCTCCACCAGTCCTTGCAGAAGGCTCTTCCAGAACCTCACTGCTCAGAAGATTTCTAAGGATCAGGTTTTATAGCCAGTTTATACCTATCTGCTTTTGTCTTACACATGTGCTGTCTTGTACAAGTCAAACCATTACATCCTCTTATAACATTACAGATAACCCTTAAAAAAAAACAAAGTAGAGCTGTTGGAAACACTTAACATGTTTAATTAAAAGCAGTCAAAGATTTAATTAAAAATGAAAAGAAAAACTGGTAAAATAAATGGCTGTACAATTAGAGTGAAGTTGTTTGTGTCTAATATGAAAAATTAACAGACAAGGTTCTTTGGCTAAATGTGGTATCTTTTATTAGCCCAACTGAATAGTTGGAAAAATTGTTCTTTGCAAGTTTTCGGGCACAAATACCCTTCTTCAGGTGTAGGTAGTACACCTGAAGAAGAGTATTTGTGCCCGAAAGCTTGCAAAGAACAATTTTTCCAACTATTTAGTTGGGCTAATAAAAGATATCACATTTAGCCAAAGAACCTTCTTTGTCTATGTCCTTAGACCAATACAGCTACCACCAACAACACTGTATGAAAAACTGATGCATTCTGTGTAAATTCCTGCTCATCCACTACACATGTGACCAGTATGAGTTTTCCTTACGGTACCTTTGGTTAAGAGTCTCTTTGCGTGTGTGTTTACTGACTTGATACTGTACAAAGCGAGGTATCAGATCAGGATTCAACTTGATGTAAGCACCACGATTGCTTCCCTCTTCATAGTAGTTAGAGGCAGAAAAAATAGTGATGACCTGATTTTACAAAAGAAAGAAATTGAAGGAGTTGGTTAAAGCAGTTCCTTTTTGCACAGAAACATGAAACTGACCTTGAAAAAAATTGAGGCAGTCCTAAGATCTGTTAAACCTAGTTTAAAGTTACATTAAATAAGTAACTATCTATCATTCAGTTTAAAATAAGCAGCACCAGTTCTGAAATTGCTTGGGCCCACTGAGTCTGAGGCATCAGAACTACATTTTCAATGTGTCCCATCAAGTCTTCGGAATAACACTTTCTCGCACTCGTCACAAGGGCAACATTTCCCTGCAGGCTAAATCATGGCTTTTAGTCTCCTTTCCATGCTTCTAGCTGTGCACATCAGAGACAGAAGCCCAAAAAGAAAAATGAAATTATTCAGAGAAGTTAGCATCATAAATGTATCACACCTATCTGAATTAACATATATATTGTTACCCCCTCCCTGTTCCCCTGAAGGAAGCAGGGTTAAAGTTGGAGCAGTTTTGCCACATCTCTTTCATAAAAGAATCATGCAGATATAACATTTGCCATAAGAATTTGCATCAACACCCGTTGATATCAATCCACCTATATTCTCAGTTATTTCTTTAAAGCAATCCTATCTATTTACAAAGAATGTACAAAGGCCTGTTTCCTCAAATGTAGAAGGAAGCAAACAAAAGAATACAGTTCCTTTGCTCACAGCTCCAAACTTCTTTCAGCCAGCTCTTAACACCCCTATCCCCTCCATCCCCCCTTCTTTCATTTGGGTTGCCAGGACTGTCGTGGTTGCTTGTTGCTTCGCTGTTTTCCTTGTCTCTCTTCCCTCCTCCTCTCTCACACACACTTCTACTAAAAGCAATACAGAGAAAGCACCTCTATCTGTATAGTTATGCACTACATACAAGCACCCTTCTATGTGCCTGTGTTTTGATTGTTTCAACTACCTGGCTTCAGAAAGCAGCTTAATGCCTCCCTATACAATCTTAAATGAAAGGCCATGATTATCTTCCCCCTCCACTCACTGCATTTAATGATACAGGGTGCATCTACATGAGATGCTATGTTGCTGTAATGACGAGCTATGGTGAGGTAGCTCGTCGCTAGGGCAACATAGTGTTGGCATGTATGAACCATTGCACTGACTACTGCACAGTAGCTATGAGCTACTGCACAACAACTCATTGCTACTGTGCAATAGCATCAGAAACGACCTGCGGTGTGCTGGGACTGCGCACTAAAGGCAGTTACTGAGCAGTCATTTACTACTTGTTTGAGCAAGTACTAAATGACTGAGCAGTAACAACTGCACAGTCCAGTGCATGTGTAGACATACCCACAGTGGGTCTCGATTTTCTCCATAGAGGAAGGACAGTCAAATCTTTGATAAATAGGGTGCAAACCTAGGTAATAATGTATAAAACACAAGACAAACTTTCTTTAAAGTTTAAAAAAGATAACTGGAATTTTAAGTTTGAGCAAACAACAGGGCATAACTCAGAGGTATTCCTTCTATCAACATTTTACCAAAGCTGAGAAAAAATAAGAATAAGATCTAAGGTGTTGCTTATATTCTCCCCCTAATCCAGTCGTTCAACTCCATTAGCTTTTGCTGCTGGCATTTTCCGGTGAGCATAAAAACAAAGCTCTGGAGCACTACCACTAGCTCTATAATGTTTCTATAACAATGTACTGATTCTCTGAATCTCTGCACTTTGAAGAAAGCTAATCATTCTGAGACACTGAGAAAGACTTGTTTTGTTTTGTTTTGTTTTTAAATGCACTTTGGTTAAAAAAAGTTGGCATGACTCAAATAGAGGATTTTAGTGAATTCAAAGCACAGATAAGTATGGTACTATTCTTGCTGTCATTACCAAATTGCCTCTTGATATTGAGGAGAATATTGTACATGTAACAACTATTGAATTGTTACACATGCAAATATCACATATTCCCTCATACTCATTTTATGAAGTTACTCTTTTTCTCTGATCAACTTTGCTGACCAGTTTGAAGTTACTGGCCTGGATTTTTCCGTGAAATGCAAGCCAGAATTTTACTTTACACACAAGGATCTTACCTTCCCTCCATGGATGACCTCATAGCCTTCTTGTTTACATTCATGAGATCTGATGAGCATCTTCAGATTATACTTTTTAAGCAGTCTGGAAGTAACATCAGGGCCAAAGTAGCAACCAGCTCCTCGATATTTGTTTGACGTGCAGCCCTTTTGGGTTTTTGGATCACTCCACAAAATATCAACCACCTGGAAATAGCAAACCAAAGCAACCAAAATCTACTGGGTTGAACTTTTAAATTTGTATCACACAAACACATTTCAGGAACACATAAAGGAAACATACTTTTCCCTGTGAGCTCTCCAAAGCAAAACATTTCAAAATTAGTTCTACACACCAGGGCTAAGTACAGAAAGTCATAGTTTCATAGTTTCTAGGGTTGGAAGGGACCTGAACAGATCATCAAGTCCAACCCCCTGCCCTGGGCAGGAACAAGTGCTGGGATCCTAAAACCCCATCCAGATATCTATCCAACCTCCTCTTGAAGACCCCCAAGGTAGGGGAGAGCACCACCTCCCTTGGGAGCCCATTCCAGAGCCTGGCAGCCCTAACTGTAAAGTGATGCCTCCTGATATCAAGCTTGAACCTACTCTCAATCAATTTGTGGCCCTCATTCCTTGTTATCCCAGGTGGTGCCCAGGGGAACAGAGCCTCACCTATTTCCTGCTGGTCCTCACTGGTGAGTTTATAGATGCCTATCAGATCCCCTCTCAGTTTTCTCTTGTGGAGGCTGAATAGATTCAGGCCCTTTAGCCCATCTTCAAAGGGCCTAGCATGCTGCCCACTGACCATGTGAGTGGACCTCCTCTGGACCCTCTCAAGGTTAGCCACATCCCTCTTAAAGTGCAACACCCAGAACTAGATGCAGTACTCCAACTGTGGCCTGATCAGCACCGCATAGGGGGAAAGGATCACCTTCCTGGACCTGTGTGTGATGCATCTGTAGATGCGCAACAAGGTCCGGTTAGCTTAACTGAGGTAAGTCAAAAAGCCAGAGGCTGAACTGATTCAGTCTTTGCAGGTTAGTCTAAACTGCACAGATTGAACCAATAAGCAAGTGAACAGACATTCACTTCTGTTTCTGGAAATGCAGCCACATGCCTGCAGTGGCTCAGGCCAGAAACTGGGGGTGCCAGAGCATGCCCCCCAGCCACTGCAAAAGGGAAGGAAGGAGACAAGCCCTCCAAGGCTTTCCTCCTGCCCTCCTGCTCGAATGGAGGCAGCATGGCCAGGCCACAGCAGCCTGGGGCCAGCATGCTGAGGACAGGGAGATGGGAGCTTTAAACACCCCTTCCTGGCCTACATGGGACCCCAGCCCGGATCTATGGGGGGGGGCACCCCTACCAGGCTTACCCCCACTCCCCACTCCTGCCCCAGGCCACCATGCCGGGGGGGCGGGGGCGAGGGGGGTTAAATCCCATGCCTGGCCCACCAAGGACCCCAGCTGGGTTCTTCCTGGTAAGGTGGGGGGGCAACTTGGTAAGGTGGGGGTGGGTTTTTCCCACTGTGCTAATGCACAGTAGAATTAGTCTACTGCACTCAACACATCTCGTGTAGATGTACCCACTAATGACTTAATCTTGCCTTTTGGAAAACAAGCCAAAAATTGAAGGAAGAACATACAAAGTCCCTCCTCCCTGAGCTACTGGTAGATATCACTGATGCCTACTGTAGCCCACTTAAACTAACAAGATGTTTTGCACCACTAGATCCTAACCACATAAGATCAACTGGATGCATTAGATACTGAAGAGTATTCTTAAAATGGACTGGAATGCTTGATACTTGGAAGAACAGAATAAATATAAACTCACAAGTCTTTCATTAATAGGGCTAGAAAAGGGTTATGCATCTGAATAACCACTGGCTGAAAATAGATTCAGCTACAATTAAAATACCTTGACTGTCCTGAACAATGTGTTTGTCACTGAAAGCCCACTTCAGAATCAAACCACTTGCTTGCACAAAATAAATTCCATTTTATAACTAAACTTAAAGTCTATATTCCTGGGTCCACATACTTGTTTCCATTCCTTTGCCGTCAATTCTGGCAGCTTACAAGCACTGGACTCCAGATAGTGCATCTGAGGGGGAAGGTCAGAGCGGGTACCACCATGAAGGCGACGAGTACGTTTCTCAGCATCTGAGCGGTCATTGGTGTGTGGTCCTCTATAGCCAGACATTGCTGGAGACTTGGCCATTGATTTTGATACAGAAGAATGCTGCTCAACCAAGCCAGTTTTGTTCAAGCTGGATTTTTTCTCTGTGTGTGGGTTTGGTGGTTTCAGCACAGACTTCATCTGAAACAAAAACAGACTTATCATTGCATCTTTAATGGCACATACAGAAATTCGGAAAGGTCAATAAAATACATATCATGTTCCCATAACTTTACTCAGCACTTAGCCATAGTGATGGCTCTAGCTTCTTCAACATGGAATGGATGGCAGACATTGGTGCTCGCCATTAATTATTCCCAAGAGTGCATTTACTTGTGAGTAATCAGTGATGCTCAAAGGTTGTTACACTATCTCCATTTTCTCTGAGGATTCCTACAAGAGTTCCTGTATTACTTCAATACAAATGTGTTTTTATTTAGTAAAGAAACAAAACAGATTCTCCTATATTTTTCTTCCATGAAGCCTAGACATCTAAGTAGAGGATATCTCCCCCCTATTATCTTGAACAATATCTGAAGAGATATCACATGGATTTAACAATGAGTAGATCCCAGTGGGGACTGCCCAGCACAGTCTGGAATGTGGCGTACAAGTTAAACTACTTCAGTATTCTCCTGTGAAAATGACTTCACCAGGTTAATCAGACACCGCATAATGTTTCACAAGCAACAGGCCAAACACGGAGTTGATATAAATATCTATCCCTGATTTCAGTGGGAGCTCAACCCTGCTTAACTTCAGAGCTGAATCTGACCAACCGCTGAGCTTGTTTGGTTGTTTTTTGCTGGTTTTTTGGGGGGGTGGAGGTGGGGGGGGGGAACACGGACATTGTGGGACATCAGCTTGTCGGGGGTGATCCTGACTCTGAACTACAGGTCTTTACAGTGATATGGAGTCTCAAGGAAGTTAAGCAGAGCACTCACAAGTGAAGGGGCCTGCCCACACAGTTTAGACTATAGGATCATGGCTATAGCACATACTTCTCTGCACAGAAAGTTGAACTTCACTGAAAAAATAAATTCACAAACTAAACTGATTTCGTGATTCCTTTGAAACTTCTGAGTTGTTAACTTTTATATTGTCTAGGATAACACAGAGTCTTACAACCGGGTGAATCAGATCCACAGCTGGTACAAGCTGGTATAACTTCCTTGAGTTCAATTTATCTACACTGACTTATAACAACTAAGTATTGGGCTCAAAATGTCCACTGATACCATATCCATTCTAAACATGTTTTAAGACATCACTGGCACTCTTTTCCTCTCTTGATCTTCAGCCCTGCAGGTCAGATGAGTGGCTCGGGGTCCATCTGAGACCCAGACTGGGCCTTGGGAGGGTGGCACCAAACCTTCCCACTCCCTGAGTACTGGGATTGGGGCCTGATGGCCTGGCACTGCCCCCTTCTGTACCTTCTTCCACTCCCCGCCATGCTCTGGGATTGGGTCCTGGGGGGCCAGCACTGCCCCTTCCCACCAGGATTGGATGCTGAGGACTCAGTACCACCCCCTCTGGCCATATGTACTGGGATTGGGTGCCAGATCCAGCATGCAAGGCCCAGGGCTCCCCATGGGTCCAGAGATTTGCAACAGGGGAGCCACTACTCCCCTGCCACCAAGTTTCCAGACCCCTGGGGAGCCCCACAGGCCGGGTGACACAGCATCACAGGCCAAATCTGGCCTGCAGGCCAGAGGCTGAGCATCTCTGCTCTAGACCTACAACATTCTTAGACAACAATACTTAGTCTTTTTACTTGTAAATTGTTTAAATAAAATAAAATAATGCTATCTTACCTTATTTCTGCTAAACAAATTCAGGAGATCCAAATCTGTAGTGTCTGAAATTCCTCCATGCAAAATTAATACTTTGCTGTCAATTATAGTAGCAAGGGGAAGCCAGCTAAAGACGTCTTCCAGAAGGCGTAAAATTTTTTGCCCATGGTACTGTAAAATAGATTATTGTGTTAGATGCCATTCCTTAGAACCTCTAAAGCCAGTCACAGCAAGTATAAAGTAAGGAAGTATCTCTGGGTTCATCCTGTGGTTGGGGCTTCAATATTCTGGGGGAACAATTCTACCCACTGATGTAACCTCAAAAATATTTTGTTATTTACGCTCAGAAACTTACATTAAATACTGCTTGATTCTGAGTTGATCAATTCTCTGATCTGTGTGAGTGTGTTGTATTTTCTACAAACTTCACTTCATAAATGTACTGGATACAAAAAATCAAGGACTAAATATAGACATTGGATTTCTGGCACATTATAACCTGTCTGCCATCTGATAACCCCAGGTAACTTGTCTGCATTTTACAAGCTACATTCTTCTATCACCAGTTCAACATCCCCCACTTCTCCCTCCCCACCTCTCTTCCTGCCTCACATCTATTGTCTTCCACTCCTCTGACCCTCACTTCCAGGCACTTACATTTTCACAGACCTGCATTTTGCATTTTGGCTTCTATTCTATTGGAGAGCACACAATTCACTAGCAGACTCTCGACATGCTTGAAGAAGCATGTTTGTGCCTAAAAGCTTGCAAAGAACAATTATGCCAACTATTTAGATGATCTAATAAAAGATATTACATTTACCCAAAGAACCTTGTCTGCCTGTGTCCTTAGACCAACACGGCTACAACCAACAACCCTGTTGTACTTTCTGGTATTTGTTGTATGGCTTATAAGTTTTTATGATTACTGTTCTTACTTCACTGGGTATAATATTCTATTCTCACTTACACTGGTATGAATACAAAATAATTTCTTTTACCTAGATGGAACTACTCTGTTTCTAGCTCTCTGTAACTGAGAGCTAGTCTTGTAGTTAACATAGGATTTGTAAATGCCAGAAAAAAAATTAAAGGGGGGAAATATCTTACCCAATACTTCTTCATCACTTCTTTTGTGAAGCCATATCTGAAAACAGTGACAGCATCATGAAATGGCTTTCTGCCTGTTTTGCACTATAACTTTGCAATAATTCATATAAGTCATGTGAAACCTTACATCTATAGAAATCTATTAGCAGCGCATTCTCTATAAAACTCCAACGATACGCTGTGGGTGATGACGCATGCACATTTTGATCCATTTCAAAAGGGGACTACTTCAAGAGGGCAGTAGCTATTACTAATTGCAACACATGAACCATCTGGGAATGATACAAACTTAGCAAAACTGTTGCAACTTTAAACCTGAATGAAGTATTGAAGTTGAAGCAGGTGTTGTTACATTCCCTGCTCCTTAGCAGATAGCAATTAGAATGTCACAGCTGCTGCTCTTTGGAAACATTCCCCTTTTGAAAGGCTCCAAATATCACCCTGTGGGGATGCTCAAGAATTCTCCATCTCCTTTTTACTGCTCAAGTCCTCAGTGGCCAGACCTTTTACCAAAGATATCAAATTCACCCAAGGAACCTTGTCTGCCTATGTCCTTAGACCAACACAGCTACAACCTGCACCCCTGCAACATGGAAGATATCGAATTCAGCCGTCTGAAATGGAAACTGTACAACACGAAAAAGAGTTGGTCTAATAAAAGATATCAAATTCACCCAAGGAACCTTGTCTGCCTATTGTACTCATAAACATACTTTCTGCTGCTCTCACTGGTGACGTGTAGGTAGTGCACCCCCCGAAATCGGCCATGCCCCCCCTGGAAGTGCCAGCCACGAAACTGGAAGTGCTTCCGTGCTCAGAAGCATGTTCCCCCATCTGCCACTGCTACCTTCTCCACTCTCCCAGGGCTGGAAGGATCTTCAGAACTCCCTGCATTCTCCAACTGGGCTGTGTGAGGGCTGGACTTACCTAGGACAGTGACCATGGCAGCAGCTTCCCACACCTGCTCCTGAAAAGGAAAGGCAGTATGGGAGAGCCCAGCCCCTCCCCTCTGTTGCTGCTGCTGTTCCCAGTTAGGCCCAGTCCCTGCACAGCCCAGCTGGAGGGTGAAGAAGCAGCTCTGAAACTTCCCTTGCCCCTGGGACAGCAGAAAAAGCAGCAGTGCCTGGCAGAGATGGGAGGGGTACAGACATGCCTGTACCCCTGAGCATGAAGGGGAAGGCCAAGATACCTATCTGTTTTGGGAACTTTAAAAAGTCCCCAGAGGCTCCTGCATTGTGGTCTGCCTACACTGGTGGGTTAGCAGGGGGGAGAAGCCTGGAAGCAGGGGTGCAACAACATATGCAATGTGGGTGGCTGCTCCTGCATCCCCCTTTGCCAAACCTTGGATCTGCCCCTGGTTACAGGACTTAAAAGTTAGCAAGAACTGCAGTCCTAGAGAAACTGACTGTGTCTGACCCCCTATTCATTTTAATACCATGGCAGCTTCACTGGTATCTCCCTGGTTACAAAGCTTGATTGAAAGCCCCATTCCTGTCAGTCTTCAAATCTGCTAGTACATGATGCAGTCATACAGAACACTTCACCAATTAGGAGGAATGTGCAAGGGTTATCTTTACTCATTGCCTCATTGACAGATTACACTTTTTTACTACAAATCTGGTTAATACAAATGTCCTCCGTGTGTTAATTAAATGGATTTTTTTAAGTAATGCTGGAAAAAGAATGATCATGTGCAACACAGGGATCTATTCACGTGAATCATCAACAGGGTCTGAGCCACTGGTCTCAGAATGTCAGTGCAAACATCTAGCACTTGAGCTAAAGGAGTATCTAGTATCCTGTGGGTACTAACCAGGCTGGGGACCAACTGGCTAAAGAGCAGCTCTGCAGAAAAGCACCTGGGGGTTATAACGGACAATAAGATGAATATGAGCCAGCAGTGTGCTCTTGTTGTGAAGGGCTAATGGCATACTGGGTTGCATTAGTAGAAGCATTCCCAGCAGAGTGAGGGAAGTGATTATTCCCCTCTATTTGGCATTGGTGAGGCTGCATCTGGAGTACTGTGTTCAGTTTTAGGCCCGCTACTACAAAAAGGATGTGGACAAGTTGCAGAGCTTCCAGTGGAGGGCAAAGAAAATGGTTAGGGGGCTGGGGCACATGACTTCTTAAGAGAGGCTGATGGAACTGGGTTTATTCAGTCTGGAGAAGAGAAGAGGAGACTGAGAGGGGATTTGTTGCAGCCTTCAGCTACCTGAAGGGAGTTTTGGAAGAGGATGGAGCTAGACTGTTCTCAGTGGTGGCAGATAACAGAACAAGGAGCAATGGTCTCAAGTTGCAGCAGGGAAAGTTTAGGTTAGATATTAGGAAAAACTTTCTCACTAGGACCATAGTAAAGCACTGGAACAGATTACCTAGAGAGGTGGTGGAATCTCCCTCTTTGGAGGTTTTTAAGATCCAGCTAAACAAAGCCTTGGCTGGGGCATTATAGTGGGGATGGTCCTGCTTTGAGCAGGGGGTTGGACTAGATGACCTCCTGAGGTTCCTTCCAACCCTAATTTTCTATGATTCAATGATTCCAAGCACTAGAAAAGTACACAACATATATCTTACCACATGCTTATCCAACATTTGTTAGACAGCATTGAAATAATATGGATCAGGATGCCCAACAAAATGATGGCTTCTGTAAGAGAAACTAGCTTCATCATAACTTTATCAAACCATCTAAAAGGTTTTAAAAACTATTGAACAGTTTAAAAGAAAAAGATGACAAGAAAATGTTACCTCAGGTTTATGAGATGGTCCTCATGGTTCCCTCTGTTCAAGTGTAAATCATTAGGGTAGACAAGAAGAAATGCAAACAGGATGATGAGTATTTCCATGGAATTTTTCCCTCTATCAACAAAATCACCATTAAAAAGGTAAGGGTTTTTTTCTGAAGGCACGCCATTCTGCAGAAGGAAACAAAACAATGCTGTTTGCCAGATTAGGCATAACTGAAAATTAATTTCTGAATAGGAATACTTGGGTCTTCGAGACTGTAAGTTTTGTCATGCTTTTTCTTTGTGGTCATGGGGTAAAGGAAATGAAATTGTAAATGAAATGGATAATATTGCTGGACAATCTGCACAAAAATTAGCTTGAAAAAATAACACTATTATATTTTCTCTCTTCCATTTAGTACAAAGTTTTCATAGCATTTTTTGCATTACTGGTAGTCTGCCAAGCACTTGCTAGTGATGCAGTGTGGCTGTCTTGTCACATGCTGCTATCTCTAATCTTTGCTTCCACTTGCCAAATCATCAGCAGCAATCAGTACATTGCTCTTCTAATATAATACCATTTTTCCATAAAAGTTATCACTTCAGGGAAGTAATGGAAAGGAAATCTATGTATTCTGAATGGGAGGTGAAGAATCCATGAGAAATTTTCTTCAGATGTGGTCCACGCTGAGAGAGAGTCTGCGGAGCACTGAGTTTGCATACACAAGAAAAAAGTTCCACGTCTTGTACCTACATTGTTCAGATTCCAATTATTTAAAAGTTAATAAGAAATATAAAATCTACATGAAATTCAATCAGATGAAAGAAAGAAAGATAGACAGACAAGAATCCTTGAAATGTTTTAATCTTTATAACACTGTTCAAATTCTATCATCTTACATTTTGCTAATGGGGCTAAATGTATGATCTGAAAGATTCTACAGCTCTTGGAGCATAGGCTTTGCAGCTTATAAGAGTTGAAATCCTTGCTTTACAGTTCGGCAGATGTAAGGTAATTCATTATTATGAAAGATGTATATTAGGGAATCTGTTGTATGCCTTACCGAGACTGGTTGTCAACATACCAGTGGGTACTGTCAGCTTATAGAAAATGTGACAGCAATGTTTATATCTTCATCATTTCTAGAGAGTATACATATTAGAACTATTTATTCCATTTTTCAATTGCTATAGAGATCACCCTACCACAAGAAGATAACTGCTTGCGTATACTGGTATACCTGTGACCAACGTGTTTCTTGGCATACACGTGACCAACACAGCAGCTCCAGTACTGTGAAGTCATCTTAGTGTATTCTATTCATAAGACAACATCATGTGTTCTGAATAGCACTAAGTCACTCTTAGAGGGTATTTCTAATGAAGGTATAACATTTCCTAGGAAACTGCTTTCCAATAAATACATTTTAAGAAATGAAATGGGACACAAGGTGCATCTATTGCTAAATGGTGCAATCAATTTAGCAATCAGATGCAAGGTGCATCTGAGATGCTAAATGAGCAATAGACTAATCCTACTGTACATTAGCATGTCATGGCAAAAGCTGTGCTAATGCACTAATGTGCAGCAGAATTAGTCTACTGAGCAGTAACATCACTTAACAGGTGTGCGCTGGCGCTACTGCACAGTAGCACTGATTATTGAGCATTTACTTGTTATTACAAGGTACTAAACTTAATGCATAGTAATTACTGCACATTGATGCATATGTAGACACACCCATGATGTAGCTAGCCACTACAACCCTGAGTAACATGCTGAGCAAGTGGCACACAGCCTGATCAAAACTTACAGAAGCGATTAGTAACCTTTACAGATTCCAGTGGGTTTAAGATTGGGCACGATGTTATTAGAGTTCTACACAGCCAAGAAAGAGATGAGAGCATCTGATTCCTGACTTTGCTTTTTCAGCTTGTGTGATGGCACAGACTGAGAATGCTGCAAAAGCAAAATGCCCACACCCTGCTGTGTTCTCTCTCTGATTGATTCAGGAACTGGATGAATCAAATAGAGTTCAAGGGGATCAACCATGAGAATCTGAATATTTAGTAAGTGAAAAGGGTTAAAATGTAGAGAACGAAATCACAGTAGGAATCCCTGAGGAAAGGGGAAAGGGTGTAGAACATCCACAGAAGGGAAAGGCACAAGGCAGCAGTGACAGCACATGAAATAGAATAGTAACTGAAGGTTGTTCTCTGAACACTCCCAATTTTTTCTTGGACAAGCTTGTCACAGTTGTTTGTAAAACCAAGTTTATTTTTGCAGCAAAAAATCCCACACCTGTGACCAGATTCGATTCATGTGGCATTTTTAATACTCTCCTGTTTCCTTGCAAAAAATTATTTTGCTTCCGTTTCTCCCATTTTAACTAACAAAAAGAGCAAATCAAAATTAAATCTAAAATGCATGAGATGTTGACTATGAGAACAAAGGTAGCTCCCTAATGATTTGCAAAGCAGTGGTGTGAGACTGTTAGCTGCTGGGCCTCATTACAATATCTTCTGGGTTAGTAGTTAATTAGTTTCCCTTTGTCATCTGTCTTCTTGCCAGCTTCAGGGTATCTCTACATACAGCATTGATTTCACAGTCTAATTTTGTAACACACAATTTACAATTCCAAGACGCTGGTCCGTGACGCTGGTCCACACAAGGATTAATCTGGTGAATGAAGAAGCATCTACAAATCGCTGCTTTGAGGAAGTCTACAGCACCTTGTTTACAAAGTGAGAGCTATAGATATCAAGTAGTGCACAATGTAAATTGCTTCAAGCAATATTACATTCATCATCTGTAGATGGGTAATCCCTATGCTTCTCTTGTTCCACAGTGGTTAGTGGTCTGGAGGTATGCAAATACATTCTGACAAAAGGCATAAGGATAATAAACTAGTATTAAGAGCCATTGCTGGAACTGAATCCTGCAAGAGGGGTTAGCATTCATCTGGGTACCGTGCTGAGTTCATTAAATTCTTCAGTGGAGCATTGACAGTGATACTGTATTGTCCCAAATGAGAAGGACCTAACAGCTCTCATTGCTTATTGGAAAATATTCCTTTTAAGTTCAGGAGTGTGCTGAGGATAGAGGTGCATAAGGATCCTAGGTGGAGCCAATTTGCCCCCTGCTTTGAAATGTACTTCTGCTTACTGTCCCAGCTTCTGAGTGGTCTGGAAAGTACAGAATGCAGGATTGAGATACATACTTATTTGGAGAGAAATTAATTGGCACAGAAACAAGTCACTGTATCCTCATCTGATTTCAAAACAAGTAAATGCGCCCCTAAGCAGAGAGACTGGACTGCCAAGCATAGTTTTGATTGTGATTTGCATGTTTTCAAAATTGTGAACAGTTGTGAACTGTGATTTACACAGACTAAGCATCTAGGACATTCACAAGGATGAGAGCAATATGTCATCCTTATCTCGTGGTACCTTTAGGCTAACTATGAACAGTAGCTACAGAACAGGCACACAGCACTCTACCATCCAAGAAAATTCCTGCAAAAAGATATACCCTTGCAACATACAAAATCAGCATAGTCTGCTGGGCACACACACATCTCATTCTTGCAAGACCTACAAGACTTAGGGATATTTTATGGTGAATTAGAGAGTCAAGGCAGTGTTGCTAGAAACATTTTAAAAACTGATTACAGCTGAGCTAAAGGTTGAACTGGCCCCAGCAGGCTTAGGGTAGAAGACTAACAGACAGCCCTTCTTGTGTCACCTCCCTGACTCATGCCAATACAGGGGTGAATCAGACAACTGCTCTGATCCAGGATGATTTTAATGAATGGCTGGAAGTGGCCATTTTGAGTAAGGGCCCTGAAGAGCATTATATATTAGGCAAGAAGATGGGACCCAGGGAATGAAACTACACTTGAAATAGTCTTTGAGAAAAGCCTGTGGAAACAGTCGTTTTAGAATGTGAATATAGAACCCGTCTGCAGGAGCCCTGAAAGTAGTGCACTATGTGTGTGTGAATGAAACTGTGCTTTGCAATCCAGTCTCTCTGCTTAGGAGCATATGTACTTGCTTTGAAATCAAATGAGGATGCAGTGACTTGTTGCTGTGCCAATTAATTTCTCTCTGAATAAGTATGCAGCTCAATCCTGCATTTTGTACTTTTCAGGCCACTCAGAAGCTGGGACAGAAATTTTGCCATTTTTACAGTCTCCAAGAAAGATTCTGTTAAGAGCATCCTAATAATGGAAGGATTGGGTGAAATATTGGCCTCGCAGTTTTGTTTGTAGACTCCGGATTTCACAGTTACTCTGGGAGCTTTCCATTTGTATAATATTATCCTGATTAAATGACAACATCAATGTCATTTGCAGCATGCTTTTAAAGGCTACACTAAGTTTAATTTGCAGATGTAAGTATATCCATATTCTAACATTCATTTCCAAAATAGAGATTTTTTACCCTGCCAGGTGTTGTGTATTGAAATTAATCTAAATAATGCTTTTCTATCATGTCATTCTAATCTGCAATTTCAAAATGGAAGAGTTGTCTCATTAAACTGACAGCTAAAAGACAGGAAGCCAAGGAATAGCTAAAAATGGTAACTTAATAACATAGAAAGATGACCCAGGGAACAGGTCAGTGGATCTTTTGAATTTTTGTTATTGTTTTTAATTAGGTTTCTGCTTGAACAAAATATTCAAGTTTACACACATCAGCTGTCAGCTGCAACACATAATTGAAGCAGACAGACACAGAGGAATTACATCATTTCAGCACCTGGTTTAACTCATGCCAGCCTTTGTTCAATACAGATGAATATGCAATACTCAGTCATCAAAAACAAAAAAAATTCAGAGGGAATATCTGCTAAATTGAAAGGTGGTGATTCATGCTAAAATGAAAAGAAATTTGGAACTTATTGTATGACATTATTTGCTTTCAGCTAAGTATATGACTGCTAAGGAGAAAGCCTGGCATTTTGGTTTTTTCCACATTTGTGAAGCAATTATGTTTCAACAGGAAATGCATGAAAAGCTGCTGAAAGCTAAATGGAAATGCCCGATATTTTCACTAAACAATCACTTTTGAGAACTGGAAAGCTTTTAAGAAGACAGAACTGCTCTGTACTTCCCATAAATAAAAAAGCACCCTTTTCAGATATACAGTAAAAGCTGTGTTATCCGGCTCTTTCCCATCCAGAATGCTCCATTAACCAGCATCTGTCATAGACAGCATCTGTTGTTTACAGCAGTGGATCGATGCAGCAAAAGCAAAACCGGAAGTCCCACCATGGCACTTCCGGTTTTGCTGAGTCCCACTTCTTCCTTGAGGACCACGGCCGGGGCAAAGCAGCCTGCGCGGGGCTCCCCTCCCTGTCCCCCAGCACACTGACACCAGGGAGTGAAAGCCCTGGTGCACCAGCAAAGACGCCTCCAACCTGCTGGAAATAAGCTCTCAGATAACCAGCATATTTGATTAACCGGCACTCCCTATTCCCCATGGATGCCAGATAACAGTTTTTACTGAAAGTGTAAATAGGTTTAAAAAGCCAAAGAAAACTGTTGTATTCTCCACCATGAGCCGAATCATCCAGGATTACAGAGTTACAGCAGGGATGCATTTGGCTCCTTATTTTTGAAGAACTAAATCTTTCCAAAATGCAGGAATGGGATTTTGTAGAAATTACAAGGAGTCAATCTGTCATGTTGATTCCTCAGACCAGTCCATGCCCTACTGTGGCATTCACTTAGGACTGTCAGAGAGCCCAAAACACCCAGAGATTTCTCTTTTCACAGAGTCAGTGTAGATATTGAGATGGAAAGATGGAAGCTGCCCAAGAACTGATACAAACTGTTGTAATGAGTTCTTTTTTTCTTTCTCTCTCTCTTTTATTATGTCTGTATACTCACACACACACGCACACACACATACATGCATCCATGCGTGCACACATGCAAACACATTCCTTGCGTATAATATATACTAAACAGCAGCTAGCTGGTGTTCAGATGTTTTCCTAATGCCCGCCCTGGAGTGAAGGATGTTTTACTAACTGAGCATTATTTACCTTATAGAATATCAGCAAAAGATCATCCAGTTTTCCATGCAAATCACCTAGAGGGAATAGAGGATTCCAAGTTTTGTAACAAAGTAGGGAACAAGGTGTCCATTACAGACAAATGAGAAAGCTGGAGCTACACTATAAGTAGTTATATTAACACGCTTTGTCATGTTTTCTTTTGCAGCGCTGTCCTTGTTTTTTAAATATGCAGGCCAAGTTTCACACCTAAATCTGTCCATTATGTACTTGATGGAGTACATAATTGCTTAACTAAAGCCTTAAGCATTGCAAGTGGGGACTGTCTAATAGTATCAGATCAGAGGCATGCTTGAAAATGGTTGTTCAATTGAAGATCCCGGTGCTCTATGGTAAAATATATTGTGAATCTTAGTTTCCGTAAATGTGCTATGCTAACAGTGATAGCAAGTGAGAGGCTCCCTACAAATACTAACACCAAATAGATAGGAGCCTAGAAATAAATGTTTAGCCTGTCCATGAACATAGCTCATATGTGCTAATGCACTTAAGCAGATGACCATGCTTAATAGGGCAACTAGATTAATTTATATGCCCATGCAAAATGACAGAATTTTTAAGAAGTCATTAATCATTCCTTTTTTTTTTTTTTTTAATCTAGCATCTGCTAGACTAATGGAACAGATAATCTACAGAATATAATACAGGGCCATAATTCACACTACCATGAGCAGGGTGGAGAAGAGAAAGCACAAGGAACCTTAAGTCTTTGTACCTCTACACAAGGGGCAGCAGTTTAAGATCACCAGAAAGGTTTTTAATGGAATTAACTACTATTCAGCAGGCGAAACTTGCTGCTATGCAAAAGGATTCTGTTGTATAGATCCTCTCTGCACAGAAGTGCATCTCACCCATTGTAATGCAGGGGAGAGGGTGCAGAATCAGGCTTTTTACCTGTCCAAATAAAATTCAGAGTTTACCTAGAATATGCCAGTGATCTCACACTTTCACTAGTAATGTTAAAAACAGGAGCAAGATGGCATTTTTATCCTGCTCACAGATGATACATGCAGCTCTGTGAATGCCTGATTGAAAGTCTGTTACAATAAGTTGAAGAGTCCCCTAGACTTCAACAGGCTTTGGACCCAGACTATTAAGGGAAACATGCCAGATAAATATTTAAGCCTCAGAAGCAGTTTGGCATTAAAAGGGAATCTCGAAAGGAGTGAAAGATTATTTTAAAGTAATCCATATTTTGGACTCAACATCAGTAAGACTATGGCTTTCATCTACCACAAAACATCTTTTTGGTTACAAAGGCTATTATTTGTTTGAATGGCAGGATGGGAAGTTTTTTAGATGCTGCTTAAGTAGTGCTAATGAGGATACAATTAGGAGGAGATATCTATATTTATTAGAAAAAGGTGCTTACCAGTGAGCAAGTGTTTCTTTGGTTTATGTTTTTGTTGTTGTTGTTTTTAAAGTCCAGTGATATTTTGTATGAACAGCCATTTACTAAAAATCCACTCTTATTTGCAATTGTATTAGGTGCTTAAGCAACTCTAATGAAAATGCTGGTATCTATCTGCACCTGTCATCATCATACATTATGCATTCCTCAGAACGTTAACCCTAGTTGTCAGAATTTAATGTTGCTATTATTATTCTGTTTCACAGCTAGATGTTCTTACAATAAACCATGATGTATCATCCTTTTATCACTAATAGATGACAGCAATAGCAAAATGAATGGAGGACAAGGAGCTAATTCTGAAACCTTTACCCACAACTTACATTACTGTGAAGACAAATGTATTTGTTGTGTAAAGAATAATTGATTCCTATTCATCCTTTTAGTAGACAAAGACTCACAAAAGTTATTATGCATATTAGGTGTGCAATATAACCTATTCCAGGGACAAGTGTGCTGTTAATCAAAAGTTTCATTCTGGTGTCCATAGAAATAGTGGTAGCTGAAGGGTTTGGTGCTGCTGAGCATAAAGATTTTCATCTTAAACGTGGTTAATTTCAGCATGTTAACTATGTTGGCTGCAGCATATGTCCATCAAGCAACAAAACCTTTAATTTTACAACTGGAAAAGGCAGAGGCAAAATTTCAGGACACTGCCACCCTTCAGCTCTGTTAGAAAATGTAACAATAACTGGGAGCAGTACTGATTTACTGGACATCAGGCTGCATTCTCCTCCCCTCTGAAAGCACAAGCCAAGAAGGAACACGACACTCCTTACTCAGGGAAACTGTCACTGAAAGCACTGCAAAGCAAGATGTGATGGAACATCCTTTTCTCAAGGACACAATTGGACAGTGTTTCCCAAGAAAGTGTGCAACGGCACAAAAGTGTTGTCAAGAATGAACAGATGTGCCGCAGAATGTTGCTATGGCAATGAGCTATAATAGGTCTGAGAATGGGGAAGGCCTTACCAGGTGTGCCACAGAAAACAATTATTAATGTAAGTGTGCCTTGGGCTGGAAAAGGTTGGGAAACACTGCAATAGGCTGATGATGACACTGGTAGAAAAGTTACTGCATTAGGTAGCATAATTTTTACATAGGGCAGTACTGAGGAGGTGCTTTAAGCTGCATTGCAATGGCCTTGGTTTAAACACTGACTCACCCAGTAATACCAGGACAAAAAAGCAAAAGAAGATTTTTGATTTCCTTAAAATGTACCACTGGGTGACTCAACAGCATTTGTTTCCTTAGTTTGGGTAGATCTATACTCTTTTAAAACTATCTAGAGCAGTGGTGCTCAACCTCCAGCCTGCAAGGCCATGTCACTAGCCTGCAGGGCTTCCCACGGGTCTGGTAATTTTGGCAACAGGGAAGCAGTGACAGCATTTACTGCCACCACTTTCAGAGCCACAGCACTTAACTCTGCCATCATTCTGGACCTGTGGGGCACCCAGTGGGCTGAATGACACTGGCTGGTGTGTGGGGTTGTGCTGCGGCTTGGCCAGTACACAGGATCACACTGTGACAGGATCTGGCTCACAGGGCCTGGCTGGCGCACAGAATTGCACCTATAAATTAACACTGTGCATAGGAACCTGGTGCCATGCCACTTGTCTGGCCAGCAGGGCCAGAAGGTTGAGCCCCATTGATCTAGAACATTCCAGCCATCACTGCTGCTATAAATATCTGTATCCTCTTCTGAATACAAAGCAATGCACAATATCAGGTTGTGGCCAAAACTAGTTCTCTTCATGGGCACCTTACCACAAATGGTTATCTCTTTGGAATAGGAAGTCGACAGATGAGTGATGTTTGGCATCTGTCGAAGAACTCTCCTTGTTTCATGTAGAAGCTGTAGCACATAGCGGGCATGCAGTTGCTGCAAAGGAACACGGCAAGATAAGGAAGGCTTACGAAAGATAGAAACAGAACTTTCATGAAGTAGCCTCATCCAGCATTTCTCAACCTGTGGGTCGCAACCCTAAAGTGGGTCCCAAGAATATATGAAAGGGTCACGAACAAACTTTAAAAATAGATTCTCCGTTAAAAGAGAAAAACATAGGAAACTGTAGGTTTTCCCTTGCAGGTTGCCAGAGTTCCAACCTGTGAGGGTCTGCTTGGTGCCCCACCATACTGCCCACACTCACCCCCTGCCGCACACATTGAGGGGTTGAGCCCTGGGGGTGGGAAGCAGCAGCGCGGGAGCGAGGGGCACTGGGTCAGGACTGGCCATTAATGTTTACAAATGGGTCCTAGTACAAAATAGGTTGAAAGCTACTGGCCTAGTTTATCCCAAACAACCATGAATGTTCCTATTAGTACTCACCACCTACAGATTGTTTGCACTGAGCTCACATATTATTAACACATGTTCTAATGCCAAGAATCAGGAGCTCCCATGCTCTAACTTCTAGTTGCCCTAGAGAACTGCTGCACAGGCTTCACATATATGAAGGTAAGGCTTCACTTGTATACTTCAGGGCTTTGCCACACATTCAAACTAAAGCTGGATAGAAACCAGCTATAAAGTTGTTACACATTTTCAAGTGCTAACTTTGGAGCTGGTTGGCTTTTTTATAGCTGGATGGAAATGTTTATGGTGCGATCATTACTTTGTATGTATGGCCAGTCTAAATGTATTGCATAATTAGCCAGTAGATTGCATGGTAATGAATTTGCATATGTGGCCAGTCTAAATTAATTATGCGGTTAACCAGCCGTGAATGTTTCAGAACACTTTCAGGGGGCCAATCATGCAACAAATCTAACTTCTGTCTGCACTCTTAGAGATTGGCAGGAACCAGTGCTGCAGGGGCAGCACAGGTCCCTGCAGCTGTGGCAAGCAGAGCTGCAACCCCCAGTCCCAGCTGGGAGGCAACACTGCCCCCTATCACCGAGAACCAAGTCTAGTAGGATCAGCCTGTTACTGAACCTACAGCAGCTGCTCTCCCTCCCTCCCACCTTGGAGACAGGGGGGAAGGAGAAAGGAGTACTATAGGATGTTGGAGGAGTGAAAGAACCCTTGTAGCATTATATGTAACTGTTCATACTTTACATGGGGTGCAAAAAAATGTAGCACTATAAAGGAGTTCCTGTTTCAAACAAAAACCCTTTTCTGGCAGATCTGCTGTTTGTCTTGAAGATATTTAATCTCTTTGCTCCCCTCTGCTGCAAAAGCTGTTTTGTGCTGGGAGTCCTTCTGCTCTGTTAATGGTATTTATGATTATCCTGGCAGACAGTGATTTTAGAGCTTTTAAAGTATTCATCTGAATACATTATTCAGCTGAAGTTCTACTCAGACGGTCAGACCTATTTAGAAAGGTTGGCTTGGGGGACTGGCTTTTAAAAGAAAAGTCACGAAGGCAAACTACTGCCCCTCTACATCTTTTAAAAAGGTTCCTGATCAAAAAATAAACCCTAATTCTTACTTGGAAGTGAGATAGCTGAACCTGAAGGGTGACTTGTTATCATTTATTCTTCTGTTTAGCACACTCTGTCTGCTAGTTCTCTCCCCCAGGGAAAATACTGGAAGTCCCATTCTTTAGTAAATTTAAAGCTCTGCTGGACTATTAGTAGTTAGCGTTTAGAGTACTAGTAGTTAGCACTTAGACTTGCAGTTTAAATGGTCACATGGATCACCCTCCCAACACTTTGTACTATAAGTATTAATGCCATTTTACAGATGAGTATACTAAGGAGAAGTGTCTTAAGAAGATATGCTAAGAGGTGGAAGCAGATCAGCTTAAGCTTTCCTGCCCACTATGGCTGAGACTTGAACCATCTCAAAAGACCAATAAATGAACAGGCAATGGAGTCTCTCTCACACTGGTTTTCTTTATATTTAATTTTTTTAATGTCTATTTTAGAGAGAAATAATGTCCTTGCTCCTTCTTAACTCCCTCACCCACAAAGTAACACCTACTCTTGATTGGTGAGAGAGTTGAGGGACAGTTTCTTGCCCCAGCAACTGAAGATAGAATACTTCTACTCACCTGATCATTATCTTTTGAAGTACCGTATACTTAACTTTGTGTTAAAATCAATACCAAATCTTTAGCTCTTCTGTACCCACAACAGGTCACTATGTCGCCTTCTAAAGAACCTAGACTAAATTTTAAGAAATACTTCTCCATAAAAGCATGTTTTTCCATAAAACATCTGATATTAAACTTTATCATAGGCCTGACAATTCCATTTAAAAAATAAATCAGCCTCATCTCTGCTTCCAACTTGCCTGGTGATATTTGAAAGCATGAAGTAGAGCAGCAGTATCCTCAGCAGTGAGTGGAAAGGACAGCCGAGGTCCACGATAGGAGTGTGGAACCTCTATCATCTTCTCATATTCTAGTAACACGAGGTCTGAACTGGTGGTATTAAAATCACTGATGCCATCAAAAAAGTGAGAAACTGAATCTATAACAAGAGAGGTGAAGAAAACAAAACAGTTTGTTATTCTGGAAGGCAACACAAGCCTTTCTGCCATTAATGTATAAATAATACTGTGGGGCAGAGCTATACTGCTACCCAGCACGTCCATGGGTGACAGATAGTGAAATGACCTCCAGGGAAGGTTAGCTGTGAAATAAGCAGGGGTAACTCTGACAAATAAGCAGTCATGGTCCGAGCAGCAGCAGCACCACCAAGATGTAGTAAGGACAGCAGATGGCAATGGTTTCCCTCCTAAAAAGCCACATATATTCTTTGACAGTGCTGTGACATGGCAAGTACAGGTTGCCACTATAAGTCCACCCAGCCCCCGGCCATAGGTCAATAAGTTCTCAACGGTGGAGCAGGCAGAAGCAGGTAGAATCTCAATGGCTGTGAAAGTGAAGGAAGGCTGCAGGAGAACAAGATTCCCAATTGTCTTGATCTCTTTTCCATTGGATCAAGGTCCTGTTCTGTTAAAAGTCATGTGGAAGCCTATGTGCAGCAGCATCTCCACAATAAAAGAAGTCATGCATTGGCATCTTCCATGAAAACAGCTTTTCCAGCACATTCCTTAAGCCCTTTGGTGATCAGCTAATGGCGATAGGAGCAGGATTGTGAGATCTAGAAGCTCTTAGTCATGAACAGGCATGAAGGTGGCAGTTACAAGATCATCTAGCTCTTGGACAAAACAGGAGTGTGATTTGGCAGCTGAAACTGTGACTACGCAGCCCTCTTCACAATCTGCTCTGCTCACCCTACATCAAGAGGGAGCTAGAAAAGATGCCCTAAGCATATCCAGTCTACATTTCTTCCTGGTTGGACAACCACGTCCAGTGGGACCACCTTTACTGCAGTTGAAAATACCAATGAAAACACACCATCATTTTCGGGACCTGGAACATCAGGACTCTCACAGACAACCCTAATAGTGAATGCCCAGAGCACTGCACTGTAATTGTGGCCCAAGAACTCAGGTGACATAACATTAATGTAGCTGCACTAAGCGAGACCTGGCGAGTGGGAGATGGGAAGCTCAAAGAACATGGAGGTGGGTATACCTTCTTTTGGAAAGCTAAAAAGGAAGGAGAACACCAACTTCACAGAGTTGGCTTTGCATTAAGAATGAACTCATAAACCTACTCAATGAGTTCCCTATTGGAATTAATAAGCACCTCATTAATCCATCTTAAACTGGCAGGGAGCCAATATGCAGTCATCAGCACATATGCTTCAACTTTTGATGCTGCCACTGAAACTAAGAGGAATTCTATGCCAACCTTGACCAAGTCCTTTCTAACATTCCAGAGGCAGACAGAATTATTCTTCTTGGTTAATTTAATGCCAGAGTCAGAAGGGACTCTAACCTCTGGAATGGAACCATTGCAAAGGAAAGGTCAACTCCAATGGCATCCTCCTCTTGACCAAATGTGCAGAACATGGACCCACCATCACCAATACCCTGTTCCACCAGAAAAAAACAGGCATAGGACATGATGGCAACACCCACAGTCTAAGCACTGGCACCTGACTGTCTATGTCACTGGCTGTGCCTGGGATCACAAAGCTGTCCACATCACTCAAGCTATGCTAGGAGCTGATGATTGCTGGACCAATCGCTGACTCATCCACTCGGTTATGTCATTCAAACTGGCTCCCAAACAATGGCTGCAGTAGAAGCAATGCTGATGGAAGATCAATGTTAAAGGACTCAAGGACCCAAGCAAGCGAGACCTCTTTCCACCAGTGCCTCAATGAAAAACTGGTGAATTGCAATCAACAACAATAGGAGAATGTCAGCAGCATGTTGGGTGCCCTCAAGGCCACCATCATCAATGCCTGTGAAGAGACGCTTGGATTATCTACCAGGAAACATCAAGACTGGTTTTATGAGAATGACTAGAAGATCCAAGAGTTGATTGATCAAAAGAGCAAGGCCTTTTGTGTTTATCAAAACAACATCAACTCCATGCAAAAGAAACTGAATGGGCATAAGCAATTGGTGATGGACAGGAGGGACAAGGCTGAACTCCTCAATGAGTTCTTTGCCTCAGTGTTCCTAAGCGAGGGGCAAGACAAGTCTCTCACTGGGATTGTAGAGAGGCAGCAGCAGGGTGCCAGACTACC